TGGCACTTCTCTTCTGCTGGATTTATCCAAGATACTAGGCAGTGATTGTGAAAGTTACACTGCTAACTCTTTTATGACTTTGGGATGGAGTTCATCAGACCCTGGCGATCTGAATGTGTTTATTCCATCTAGATATTCCTGGACTATTTGTCTGTCAGTCTTGGGCTGCCATATCTCACTTTCAGCTTATACTTCCTCTTGGCTGTAGATTTTTCTTGTGGGAGGACAGTGAGGTGAAATAGGAATTGAGCAGCTCCGCCCTTTTCTTATCATCTGTTATAACTCTGCTATTCAGTAGAAGTAGCTGGGCATCATTCTCCTTCACATGTCTTTTGTTTTGGATGTATTGGAAGGTGTTTCTTGTCCTTAGCATCTCTTGGTATTCTCAGTTCAATCCCTAGCTTAGTCTTCCCAATGCCATTCCTGCAATTCCTTGCTATTTGTCTATTTTCTTTCTTTGTAGACTGACCCTGGTTCCTCCTCATATACACTCATCATATTATAGTGCACAAGAATAATCCGGACTTTCCAGGAAATTTAATTTTAAGCAGTGAAGTTGGGATCAGAATGTAAGATCAAAAGGACAGTCAGTGCAAGATGGTCATGAACCCCTTTTTAGCCTATTTCTGCTCCCCTGGCAGCTATTTGGTTGGCTTTTTCCTGGGGGGCACAGCCCAGGAAACGTGACTGAGTGCCCCATGACTAGCCTGCTTCAGCACAAGGCTGCATTTGAGTAGCTGCTCCTGTGTGCTAGCTTGCACTGTTTGTGCAGTTCATGGGCTCAATTCTGAGAGAAAACCCCAAAATGACTAGAAAAGTTTTCTGGGAACCTGCAGTCTGGGTCTTTGTGTCACCCACCAAACCAGAGTCAGGGGAACTGCTCCCCTAGAATCTGAAAGATTCTCAACCCCAGATATATTCCTTGTGCTTCCCTAATTCCTGAAGTACTACATTGTACAACTCAGTGATAGAGCATGCCCTGTAGTGATATCACATCAGGGATCCAAGTTATCCATCTCTGGAGTCCCTATACAAACTTTTCTCAGAAGGCCACACCTCTTCTATGGGCATTCTTCCCCACATGCTCCAACATCCATTCCTTTGGTGTTTTCCTAATTTTCCTGCAGTTTCCCTCCATTCTGAAATTTTGAAATGCCTCCCATGGAGGAAAGAAGAATATGTTGGTGTTTTCCAAAGTTTGCTCTGTGCCTTTCACTTTCCACCCAATCCAAAAATGAAAGAAAAACTCCATAGCTTCAATTCAACCCTTAGATTCAGAGAGATTTGCTCCTGTCCTTGGGTAAGCAGCAAGTATGTGAGGTGTATTCTATAAACCATGTTGGTCACCCTTCTGAATTCTCTTCCCACACCATTCAGATGCACCATTTTCTGAGGGGCTTGTCATTTAACAATAGTGCTAAGGAAAAAATTTCCTTTTCTCACAACGGAGACATAATGGATGGCTTTGATATTCTCAGCTGGGTCACATTTGCAAACCAGTCTTTTCATAGACTTAAAATTGGACAGGTAGAGCCCAGCACTCATAAAGAAGAAGCTTTCACCCTTAATGAGGATGCCATGACAAGGGCCGGCGGGTTTGATGAGGTTGGATCCATTTGCATTGAATTTGGGGTACTCAGTAGACAATTGCCCAGTGTGACAATTGTGAATGTCGGTTCACAGCATAGTGCCGAGTTTTCACCTAGTTTGGTCAACCAGGTGATGATTATTCAAGCCACAGTATTCAATTCTTGTTCTTTAC